TGTGCATATTATGAGGATACGTAGGATAGATAACGGGTGACACTAGAAGAGGTTAAGATTGTAGCGGTCAGGGAAACACCATTTCGGGAGTCCGTTCTGCAAAGTGATAGTTCTGGGTAAAAAGCTGTTTGAGTGGAACTTCCCCCTTACCAATGGAATACGACTCCATGTAAGCTGTGAAGAGTGTAACTTAATTAATCACCCACAAAGCCACATAATCGCTTTTGAAATTTGTGCAGTTACAGGATTTGTGACGTGATATTTATCTGAGTTACGGGACTCCTGATATGACACTTACCTCAGCGCCGTTTACATATTTTAACATCGTCTGCAAAATTCCCTTTAGGGATCGGCATAAGCTACCTCATCGCGTTCCCCTTAATCTCGTCCACGATCTGGAATTCTTACCCTTTTATGGGTGATTTTCACTTTGAGAAAAGCCAGAATAGTAAGAAGACAAATCTGGGCTTATATGCCAACACACGCGTCTGCTCCAATATTCCGAAAGAAAAAAAAATACACAAGGCTTGACAAATAGACATGTGCAGTGTTATAATCAATGCGACGGTAACACAGTAAACAAGCTCACCCAGTGGTGTCTCACTGCTGATTGAGTAACCCCGCGGAAGTGCCTCTATTTACGTACGCACAGTAAGTTCTTATCCGATTGGTTGGCAGCGCAGCCGGTTCTCGAAATATTAAAAAAAAATAGCTGGATACTTTCAGAACAGATTTCGTAAATATATTTTTGTTCATTTATAGTTCTATGTGAAGGAACAAAAAAAATACACGAGAAAAGTCAATGAAATCAGAACTAATAATACGGGTGATAAAATGAAGGGCATTGAATCTAAACAAAAATAAAATGAAGTGCCTGTTTGTTCACTATAATCTCAGAAACTACTGGTTGGATTTCAACCAAATTTAACATGCAGAGATAAGCCAGGAAGTGTCATGGGCTATGTAAGGTTGACCTAAGTCAACCCCAAAGATCATGAAAGGTAAAAAAATAAAGTCAAACAAGTCATTTTTTCATAGAAGTTAAATATTTATTTCCACGTAAAAATATAGGTAAGGAAGGTAAAAATATAGGTAAGGGAGGTAAATCAACTTGCATGATTACCTCCCTTGGTCATTTTAATAATATATACAGATAAAATAGTGTCTGTTTACTTTTTATTCAGACAAAATGAGTTCCTGGGCATTGCCGGGCACCCATAGTCTGTAATAATAATAATAATAATAATAATAATAAAAACACAAACATATAGATGACATTACCTAGATAAAAGAAAAGAACAAAAAATGAAAAAAATTCTCATCGCAAGAAAAGACAATGTGAAATTTGCAAGGCTATATTATCTGCATGAAAGATGCTATTCAAGAGTCGTTTAAGGGTTATTCTAGTAAATAAGCGTATTCGAGTAGTAGTTGCTTCAACATGTAGGCCTACTTTAAAAAAATTGTGATTTTCAAGAAGAATTCCACGAGGAAAAAATGTTCACTTTATGGTGAGAGAGATCTGAGAATGTCGAATAGAATCCTTTATTCAATTCATAGGGTGGGTTGTTCTCATTCCACTGTTCATGCGAGAAGAAATTCCTTCTTCTAAGTTATTTCTCCTAGTTAATTCGTTTTCATGATGCCACCTGTCTTTTTTCACTGAAGACCTTTTTTGCACTACCTGCCCCCAGGATTGAACTTGTGTCGGACAAAGCGATAAAAGCTTTGATTAAACGTATCGAAAAAGAGACAAGCGTTTCTTTCCGTACCTGAAAGCCATTTTCCGATTTCACAGGCATTGAAGAGCTGAGAAAACTTCAGATACACTTCTAAGATTTCTCTAACGTCGTATGGAAAAATATGCTGCTGGGGACTTTTACATCAATCCAATATTATTCATTTGTGTTTGTGTACCTATGAGAAAGAACATGATTACAAGATAAGAAACTTTAAACTATACATAGCAAATGGCAGATATGATAATTACGACACATTTTTTATTTTTCTTTCTGTCAGTATAGTTACTATTTATTCAAGGTCCGATAAGGGTATAAACTATAAGTTTCTTATATATATATATATATATATATATATATATATATATATATATATATATATATATATATACTTTTAAGACATTTTTATATTTATACGCTCTTTTTATAGATACAAATATTAAAAGTAAATGTTCTGTTTATAATAAACAGTATTAATAATATTTACCGGCCTGAATGTCCGTGAGATTTTCATACAAAACATGCGTCCTCCGTCAGGAATCGAACCTGTATCCTAAACTGGGTTTCAGTGAGAAAATGAATGAAACAAATAAAGAAGGGAATATAGAAGTGTTTAACGTCTGTTTCAGTGAAATGGAAAAAGTAGTCAATTTCAAATCTTTTCATTCGTACATCTTTAAAATAACGACCAGCCTTCATATTTATGATTGTTATTGCATTATTTTATCAAAGTTGTTAACTTAAAATATTTAACGATGCAATAACGGAATTTCTACGGATATTTTATTGTCGTAGAACTTGCTAAAACTTTATTCAGTCATTAACTTAAGAATTAAGATTCATCAGAAAATTCAAATAGAGAAACCGTGAAATTTTCCCGTGTCTTCCTAATAAACTTTTTAATTGTGTTCTAATATTATTATTGTTATGGTTGAATAAAATATATTACTCATTCCTAATGAGTAAAGTGTCCTTTTTGTTAATTTTATATCAATCTTTTTCAGAATTTAACTTAAAACATTATTTAAAATCTTGAACATGAAAGATGTGCTTACTTTTTTGCATGAGCTTGCGTTCGGCACCTGTTAATCGACGAGGTCAAATTCTGCTTCATGACAATGCACGGCCACATTTTTCCAGGATGACACTGTAGAAACTCACTAACTTGGGATACGAGACTTTGCCACATCCACTTATATTTCCCATATTTTAGGTCAATGTCTGGTCCTTACCCACCCTCCTCACTATTAAGTATTTAATAAAAATAAATTTAAAATCATTCCTATCTTTCCTTTCCCTCTCTAATTTCGACCATGTCTGTCCCACTCTCTCTCTCTCTCTCCACACTCTCTATATCACCTTACATCAACTTAAAATTACCCCTCAAAAGTGTATGAAAACTATATGTAAATTTAAATTCATTTTTTCACCCTTGAAAGTATGGTCTGATGAGCCAGGGAAAAAGAAATTCCTTGGAGAAATAAATTATAACCCTTAAATTTGTTTGTTTTCATTGAATCAATCACTCTGATTTAGCATTGAGCTCTCTGGATTTCATCCTCCTTGGGATTATCCACACGGATTACCAAGATTTTCATTACTTAAATATATATATATATATATATATATATATATATATATATATATATATGTGTGTGTGTGTGTGTGTGTGTGTGTGTGTGTGTGTGTGTGTGTGCACGCAAAATTCAGATATGAATAAAATATACTATGTGTAAAAAGACAATATGAATAACGACAAATGAAAACGTTTCTTTACCAACTCGTTTCGTCTCCTGAGAAATATTATCAAGGTAAATGGAAGGATTTTATTTTGCAACATGTATTTATAAACAGAAGTAAAGGGGGGGAAGTATCGTTATTGTTCTCAAAATTTAAAAATATATTTGTATTTTAAAATATAAATATATTTTAAAATCTATATATAAAATTCTGTGACTTCCGTTAGTTTCTCCGTCCGGCCGTCACACCCTCTAAAATAGTCATACATTGACCGATTTGGGGGAGAACACGTTAAGGGGGTACAAAGTACAGTTGAATTTATTAAGGTGCGTAGTACAATAAATTTTTGGGAAACATTAAATGTTTTATTATTTAACAAAAAATATTCCCATTATTTTAAAAACAATATAATGATTAAAATAACAAATACTTATTTAATAAAAATGCAGTACTGTTTTTTACATATCTTCTCTTTAAGTTTTTATATAGTAGAATCCAGTTTCCAGTTCGCCCTGCGTTCGTGAGAATTATAAACAAATCACAAAGCCAAACGCTTCAAAAAGTTGGAATTTGCCTCCAGAAAGAAATATTTACACATGGCCAGTTGTATGTTGCATACTCAAGAGTAAGAAATCCTAACAATTTATTCTTCGCTGTAAAAAAGATATTTTCATAAAAAATATTGTTTACCATTAAAATTAAATTAAGGAAATTAGTAAGCTGCGAAGTAGGTTTTTTGTTAAAGTATTTTTCCAAACAAATCAACTTATTCAAATTTCATCGATTGTTTTTCGAAATTGAATGAAACGTAGAGTTTGTAAATCTCGACAAAAATGTTAGCGATAAATTCAACAATACTAAAAAAAATGTATATATTTTCATGCCATGGGTGTTTTAGTAGGATCCCTGTGAATATGCGGTACTATTTTACGTGTTGAATTCAAATGGCGAAGAATGAGTTCTTGTGATGTATGAATAAATTGTAATGGATGAATGGATCGTGAACCAGATTAGCTAGGTGTAAGATAATCAGTGACGACGGATCTTTTCCCAGTCCCTTTTGGTCTTGTGCCACATGAGATAAAATAAAACAATACTAAATAATGACGCGTGTTGCAAAAAAAAAATTCTCGTATATTAAAAGACCGTTCATCAATGTTGATAGCATAAGGATATTTTCTTCGACACAATACGACATGAATAGGTTTAGGCAATAAATAGCTGTTACCGAGGGATGGTAATAAGGTCACAATAATAGGAAAGATTTCGATTGGCACAAACAGATTTTCTTTGGATTTGGAATGTGTTGAATATCGGGCCTTTTTTTTTTTTTTTTTTTTTTTTGTTGATGTTGCTAATAATTTCTTTCCGGTGTTTTGCTCCATACACAGGTCAGGTAGGTACAATTAATCAGTGCGAAAGTAACAACTGAATATTTAGTGCCTTGCACCAGGGAATGGGTTAAAAAAAAAAAAAGAAAGAAGAAGAAGCTACATAAGAGTAAGACATTTTGGGTACAAA